GGTTGCACTTTTTGCCGTTACCTGCGTACCGTGTCTGGGGATGCGCTTTGGCTTGATCCGGTTCCCATCGTTCCCTGTTTCAGGGCTCGGGTCTCCCAGGTCGTCCGCAGAGTTTTTCAGTCTTCCAGCCTGTGGTCTGTCTTTGCACCCGTGCTGTTCGGACATTTGCAGCTTTTGCTGCTGTGTTGGTGACGTCTAGGGCTCATTTCGGGCGCAGGGAATTGAGGGTCACACAGGTTCTTGGCCATCCATTCTTTATGCGCGTCTGCTCCTGTGCGTTCTTGTTGCCTTGGGTCACAGGTTGCATCCTTTTGTCTCGGCTTCGTGTTGCGGAGTTTGTGGCGGCCGCCTCCCGGGTTAGCCCTTTCTTTTCCTTCTCTTTGGGTATGAAGCTCCAGGGAGCCATAGGGGCTCCCCACAGAAAACCAGCATTGAATGTAATGAAACGCCATTTTCTGGGTGAGCCCCGGAGGCTCCCTGGCAACCCTCCCTCTCACCGGTCGGCAGTTTTTTCGTGTTGGTTGAAGCTTAGCTTCCGAACTGAAGCTTGGCAGCCGGCGCGGTAGGTCTGGGCCCCACCCCCCCTCCCCCTCTCGGGGCGGGGAGGGCTGCGCGAACGATCGGCGCGGCAGTAAAGTGTGATGTTTGCTTGTTTCCTTGGGATTGTAGGGAGTTTCTACCTCTGTTCGGTTTTTTGTTTTAGTTTTTTACCATGTGGGGTTGGTTTTGTCATGCGTACCTTTCTGGGTGCCTGACCCCGGTCGATGGCAGATAAGGAAAACCCCAACCACAAGAGTATTTTCCAGTGCCATTGCTCCCTGAAACCTATCTGAAGGGGCCAGGTTCTGGCACTGGTCCCTGGTAGGTCTGAACTCCTTAGCTAATGTCCGGTCTAATATAACATACATTAGCCCGATAAGCACCAGGGAGCCTCTGGGGCTCACCCAAAAAATGGTGTTTCATTACATTCAATGCTGGTTTTTTTGGTGAAGAACAAGACGGCTGCTTTCCAGAGGGGTCCTTGGGTCATTGATGTTTGGTTGGTCAGGCCAGGGGTGCATCATGTGTGTCCAGTTGTGGCTCTTTATTGTTATTTGCCTGCCTGAGCTTCAGTGGCTTGGGATGCACTTTGGGTTGATCCAGTTTCCCTCGTTCCCTGTTCCAGGGCTCAGATTTCCCTGGTCGTCCGCAAGGTTATTAATTAAGTCTAGCCAGCCTGCAGTCTGGAGACCTGGTCGAGGACTGGGCTGCAGGGATCCTAAGCCCCCACGGGTGCATCATGCGTTGATGCACATGATGCTCATGAACATGATGCATATGAACCATCTCAAGTTAACTTCAAGGTAACCTCCTCATGCCCATGTCATTCGGTAATTTGCTGCTTTGGCTGCCATCTTCAGAATACATGTCTTGGGCTTGTATTCGGGCACAAGGATTTTGGAGGTCGAACAGGGTCCTGGCCACCCGATATTTGGTCAACATTCCTGGTCCTGCATGTTTGTGTGTGGCTTTGGGTCACAGGTTGCAGCTAGTTGTCTCAACTTCGAGTTGAGAAGCACGTAGGGGGGCCACTTCTCGGGTAAGTCCCTCTTTTACTTCTCTGGGGTTATGTAGCTCCAGGGAGCCGATGGGGCTCCCGCACAGAAAACCAGCGTTGAATGTAATGAAATGCCATTTTACTGGGTGAGCCCTGGAGGCTCCCTGGCACCCTCCCTCCCTCTGGTCGCCGTTTCGTTTGATGCTCAGCTTTTGAACTTTGCTTTTGATGCACAGGTTTCGAACTGAGATGTGGGTAGCTGGCATGAGGGTCCAGGGCTTCCCCCTCCCCCTCCCGGGCAGGGAAGGGCTGTGCAGACAAATGGCGCTTTGGTGGTGTATGACTTTTTCTGGTTTCCTTGAGTGGTGAGGGAGTTCTGCCTCCCTGTTCGGCCTCTGATTGTAATTTTCCAACCAACAAAAGTGGGGTTTGTTTTGTTATGCCTACCTTTCTGGGTGCCTAACCCCGGTCGTTCAAGTGCAACTCCAAAACAACCAATTGCATAGACAAGGAATACCCCCAACCACAGGGGGTTTTCCCAGAGGCCATTTCTCCCTATGCCTCTCTCAGGGGGCTAGGTTCTGGCTTATCAACCCTGGTAGGCTAAACTCCATTGACTAATGCCCTAGGTCAATATATCACATATCAGTCCGATAGCTCCAGGAAGCCTCCGGGAAGCCTCCAGGGCTCACCCAGAAAATGGCATTTCATTACATTCAATGCTGATTTTTTGCAGCTTTGCTAGGGTTCCAACTGTATTTTTACTCCAGTGGTTTGTTCCTTTGCTTAGCTGGACTACTCTTTAGGCTGCAGCTTCCATGGGCATGCTAATGTGTGCCAGTGCCTTCCACTCTCAGTTGACTTCTGCTGGCTACACCATGGTGCCTCCAGTGACCTTTCTAGCACTGGATTCTGCAGCTTGCAGTATTGTTGGGGGTTAACTGGTGTTTTTAAGGATGATCCCCCCCAGTAGCTCCCTAATGCTATAGCCTTTGTAATGTCCAAGGCTTATGAATCACACCATGACTTGCGAATCCCACTCGCCTTTTGGAAATTAGGACCAGAATCTGGCTCCCTCAAAGAGGCTGGCAGTAGCCAGGAAAATTAGGATCAACATAGTATAAAGAGAATTACCCACCAGAAATGGAAAGCACTTCAAGACAAGCAATTGCATGGAAACATTTGTAACCTTGACACTAGAGCTCTGTAAACACTCATTACTAAACTGTGTACCTTGCTTAATACACTAGCTCCCCACCATATGGCAGCCTCAGCATCCTAGTTGCCCCAGCCAGCCAATCATCTTAATTTTGAGCTGCCCTATAAGAAAAGCACCTAACCTATGGGGAAGGAGTCAAATAGGGCTGAGAGTCTCACCAGAAAGAGGCAAACAGGGCTGAGAGCCTCACCAGAAAGAGGTAAATCCCTGGTCATTACCGTAGAGAATAAAATCCCACCAGAAAGGAAGTGCACTCCAAAACAACCAATTGCATAGACAACATTTGCCACCTGTATCCGTGTTATATCAACACTAATACTAATGTAAACACAACACAACACTAATGTAAGTAGGTTAGTTACACTTGCTTCTAACAAAATGGCAATTCCAATCACCCCAGGCCCGGACTAGCTAATCCATTCATTCATGCACCTGGTGTTGATGTTATCCAGGCACCAGCCACATGGCAGGGTGTTGACTGCTCATTACTTTGTTGGATGTCCCACTTCCTTGCCGTGCTTGTGTGGTGCTTGGGCAGGTGACACAATGCGCCTGTGCATCTTCTGTGAGCTCAGGTTTTCTGCTTTCTCCTCCTCCCATGGCTAAGTCCTTTCTTTCTTTATTTCTTTCTTTCATGGTCTTTTATAAATAAATAAATAGTTTATTTAGGTAAAAAGTACATACATACAAAATTAGTTACAAGCAGAATGTTGGATTTCTAAATAGAGCCAGTATGTATATGTTGACCAGACCACACACTAGAAAGTGAAGGTATGTATATGTAGTACATATCATGCTACTATATGTAGTAGTACTAGTATGTATTACTATATGTAGTATGTATATTACTAATATGTATGTATGTATTACTAATATGTAGTATGTATATCTATAAAGCCAACAAACTTTGTAAAATCTCTTTATGTATGTACCTTTACCTAAATAAAAATTATTATTATTATTATTAATTATTATTATTATATGTAGTAGTACTAGTATGTACTACTATATGTAGTAGTACTAGTATGTATGTATTATGCCTAAAGCCATTAATATGCACAGCATTTCGGGCAAGATGTTGAGGAAAAAAACACTTAAAACTAATTCTTAAGACTAATTGAGATCAAAAGCATGAATCAAAAGCAATTCATGCATTTAATTCTGTATTCCCTTTCAGCAAAACTGGTTTCTCAGGAGTATAATTATAAGTAGCACCAGGGAGCTACTGAGGGAGCCAACCCCTCCTAAAAAAGTTTTGAATGTATTGAAACACCCATTTCTGGCCAGTCCTCTATTCTTGCCATATTGTTTCCTTCTCTGTAGAGATTGTTGGTATTTTGGGCAGTATGTGCAAGTAGTGGTGAACCAATACTCTGGGTGAGCTGGGCTGCCATCTGGTGGTGGTCAGGTGTTTACCTGGTGCCAGTTATCATGTGTCTGCTTTCATAAGTTTCTTTTCTTATTATGAGCAGTGGGTTGTTTTATTTCACCTGTGATATTCTAGGCAGTTTTCTCTGTACTGTATTGAGTTGATATCTGATCTCCATGCTACCCATGCCTCTTAGGATACACCAGATTCCGATTCTAGTTTCCTGTAGGCATACAAATCCAGAGGCCTGGTTGCATGTTTAAGTCTCTTTGGTACCAGAGCTTTATGTACTGGGGGGGCAGCTAAGGGACCATCTACAAAGGTGCATATCATTACAATCAACACTTAATTATTCTGTAACTCATATGGAGAAAAAACTATTTGCTTTTATTAAGATTCAAGACTCAGCATTTAATTGTCATGGTAAAAAAATGAGATGCTGTGCTTTAATTCTAGTCATTACTGTGCATGCAGATCAATAAAATAGTAACTGAACTTTGATGCATGCAGGCAGGTGTATCTTCTACCAAAGTTTCATGGCTGATGACTGTCAGGGGAAGGTAGACTGAGGTACATAAGCAAAGCTGCTTTAATTATAAATACTTTTCTGTGTTAAACGATCAACTCTGTTTTGATCTTGGTGTTGCAAAGAATATACAATACATCCAGTTATCTTGTAAGACAATTCTCAAGTCATCAGTTGAAGTCAGATATGTTGTGAAGAAATAACAATACAAAATTTAATTTGACAAGGCTTATATATTATAAATTATTATTATATCGGGTATTAAATACATCCAAGAAATAACACAATTTTTAGCCTATAGATATGCAGTATATTTATTTGATATGATATATTTGTTTTTGTTTCTCAGGTGCTCATCAAGATGGAGTGGAAGGCTTTTTCAAAGGAATTGGCAGAGGTATTATGGGTCTCATCACCAAGCCAACTCTTGGGGTTATTGACTCTGTAGCTATGGCTTGTGATGGCATCAGGCGTGCAGTGGACCTTGGTCATGATGTAAGTAAAAGGTATCTTGGATTTTAGGTTATAAAAATTTAAACTTGATGGAATTTAAGTAAGGCAAAGTAGTGTATTTGCATATCATTTTTTTATTGTATTATACAAAAAAACCAGCGTTGAATGTAATGAAACGCCATTTTCTGGGTGAGACCCGGAGGCTCCCCGGAGCTTTACCGGCTGATATGCTAATGTCAGACTTTGGCATCAGTCATGTGTATGGAGTTCTAGGGCCTACCGGGGACCACGAGCCAGAACCTGGCCCCCTCAGAGAGGCAAGGGGAGCAATGGCCTATAGAAACCCCCGTGTGGTTGGAAGCATTCTATGTCTGCCATCGACCGGGTCAAGCATCCAGAAAGGTAAGCATTCCAAAACAAACCCCTATTCTGGTGAAAATTGCTACCTAAGCCGAACTAGTGAATAGAACTCTTCAACAGAAAACACGGAAACTAGTATGACGTCATACGTCACCGCGCCGCTGTCTGCGCAGCTCCCCCCTCCCCGGGAGGGGGAAGGGGGAGCCCCAGACCTCCCACGCCGGCTATCCACCCATCAGTTCTGAGGCTGGATGTCAAAACACGCGAAAAACGCCGACCGGAGGGAGGGAGGGTTGCCGGGGAGCCTCCGGGTCTCACCCAGAAAATGGCGTTTCATTACATTCAACGCTGGTTTTCTGGGGGGAGCCCCGTCGGCTCCCCGGAGCTAACTACCCACAGAGGAAGGTCAAAGGGACAAAACCGGGAGGCGGACACCACGCACCCCCCAAGGAGGCGAGACAACCGGCAGCAAACGCCAACCCAAGGCGCCACAGCCCCGAAAATCCCGGGAACAACACGAGAACCACGAGCAGCAAGGCCCCTGCACGAACACCAAAAATCCATGCCCGAAAGACTGCAAGGCCACGTCGCCCAGACGGCAGCGAGAGCAGCGAAGCCACGAACGCCACAGGCATGAGGGAAGAACACAGGCAGCTTAGCCGCAAGAACACGGCTGACCACCCGGGACACCATCACCCGCGAACCGGGAAGAACAGAACCGGAGCAACGCAAAACGCGCTCCGGACCCAAACGCCGTGGCACGCAAACAACAGCAGAGGGCCGCCACTGAACACAAAAACGACACACCCCCGGCCCGACCAACAAAGCACCAACAAACCCTGGACCCCTCCAGAATGCAGCAGCCCCACCTCGCGCCAGAAAAGATGGAGACTGCTGCCATCAAACAACCAAAACGCTAAAACCGAAGGAGCAAGAAAACACAGCGAACCGACCCCCAGAGGCAAAGGCCCAAAGGAAAGAGCCGATGAAAAAACACACCGGAACCGAAGGGGCACTACCAACCGAGGAGAAGACAGAGCACGCTGACCAGAGACCAGGATGGTGCAAGCGGCGCACGAACAGGCCGGAGGTGAAATGACGCACAAGACAGCTGACTAACGGTGCAGAAGCAACACCAAGACCGAAAGCAAGCTGAAGCGGCTCCGCCTGCGCCGCACGAAAAGAGGCGACAGTATGTGGCAAGACGACGGCCCCCAACCCCCACTAGAAAACCAAGCCGAGAGTAAACCAAGCCAACAAGAAGGACCCACCGAAGAAGGGACAGGAAAAGGAAGGACCGCCAAAATACCCCATACTGCCGCCAAGAAAGCACGCAGGTGGGACACCTACCACGAAGCCACCCGACCACCAACCGGAGGCGAGACCACGAGGCAGAACATAAGCAGCCCCGACAAGGCCCCCCCGAGCCCAGGAAAAAGGCGGAGCCGCGAGAAGATCTCGGGCGCGACCACCGAAACCCAGGCGGCACAAGGAGATGGAACGTCTGCCGAACAGAAAAACTCCGAAGCATGCAAGCCCGCCAGGAGTTCAGAAACGATGGGTCCGACGCGAGACATCGCAAGAACCCCCCCAAAAAAAATAAAACAACAACAACCGGCAGGGCAAGCCAGGAAAACCAAAGAAGGCGGAAGGGTCGCCGCCAGAACAGGACCCGAACCAAGGGGCACGAACAACTGCAACAGACCGAGACAAAGAAGCACATCACAGGACACAGGCTGACCAACGCCTAAGAACACACGCAGAACATTCCTGCTGCAGAAGAGGCAGGAAGAAAGAGCAGAAGCACAAAAAAAAAAAAAAAACCAGGAGAACAACCAGGGGTGGACAATCAGGCAGGGACAAAAACCCCACGCAATCCCCAGGCACAAAACGGCAGCAAAGCGCCACTCCACAACCGGACACAGGAACAAGGACACGCCACCGTGAAACACGGTACCAATGCTCACGTGCAGCAGCAGCAGCAACAGGCACCACTGCAACATGCAACATGTAAATAGCAACTCCCCTCTGCAAAGGCAGAGAACGGAGCAGGCAGACCCCAGACAGGGCCAACGGAGACACGACAAAACCCTGCAGGCCCAGAAACCTGCACCAGGCGACCGACGGCGGAGAAACCCCGCTCGATACCTGCTGGACGAGGTACTGGGAGCTCTTTTACACCTCAAGCCCGGCCCAAGGTCAGGCCAGACCGGCCAGAGGATGGCCCACCAGGCAGCTGCTAGGAGCAGTCCACCGGCCCACATACCCCCACAACCAGGACGGGCCGGAACTGCCATACGAAAACAGGCCAGTGCGCCCTGGAAGTCCACGGACGAACCAGCAAGAAGGCTTATGCTCGCAAGTAGGTCGTGTAACAAGCACAGACCACTGATGGTAATACAGTGTTCCCCAAAAGTGCCAATAGCACCACTGCACTCCACTGGTACTATCCCGCAAGTTCTACCAGATAGGCGGGACCCAAGAGCCAGAGCTCAAATCCTGCAAGCACAGCCAGGAGCCTCACCAGGTGAGTACAGAACCAACCCTACAACCCCCACACCTCACAACATTAAAAAAGGAGGGTCCCCTGAACGACTCCAGCATGGGTTGGACATGCACATGAGGGGGACAGGAAGGGGTGATAAATGGACAGTCACTGGTGTGCGAACGGTCTCAGTCGTACAAAATTATACCTAAATAAAGACAGGTATATGAACACCGCCGCATCCAGCGCCCGGCCAAAAGACGCCAGACCGCAGAAACTCACCTGGCGAATGGTGGCTCGAACTTGACACGACTCAACCGTGCCCAGAAGAACTTGGGAGCACCGCCAGGTGAAGACGCCAGAGCCGGACCCGCAGGAGAACAGGGAGAGGCGAAGGAGGCGGTCCACACCCATGACACAGAAAACCGCGGTGTCCTCCCCACAACTGGGAACCAGGACACCCCTGGCGCAAAGGGGCACATACCGCAGCCAGGGAGAAGAACGAGAGGCGAAGCACTGTAGCAAAAAAGGGCGCAAAACCCCAGCACTGAACCATCGCCCAGACCAAAACAAACTCCACGGCGCATGCGCATAACACGCTGGCCGAACCGCACACCCTCCCTGCGGGAAGGCGCCAGCCAGGACTATTGCACGAGAAAAAGAGCCAAAAGAGGAAGCAGGAACAATAAAACCGGCCAAAGAAGCAAAGAGCCCAAAAAAAGGGAACCCAAACGGGCGACAAGTAGCCCAAACGGCCGACAAGTAGCCCAAACGGCCGACAAGTAGCCCAAACGGCCGACAAGTAGCCCAACAGGGCGACAAGTAGCCCAACAGGGCGACAAGTACTAGGAGCCGACAGACGTTCCAATAATGCGGGAAGTAGCGAAAAACCTTCCCGTACCCTCGAGAACACAGAAGCCAACACTAGTCACGAAGGCGCAGGCGCACCTGAGATCAAAAGTCACGCAGAACCCCATCGAACGGGGAAACATGACAAAAACACCGTCCCAAAAAGCGGGGGAGGAAACATCCACCCACAGGACGGAACCAACCGACTCAAAGGCCAAGGAACCGAGCCCGGGGAGGGGCCGACGTCCAACAGCACGTACGGCGAGTGGGGAGGAAAGACCCCACTCCGCGTAACCACAAGCCCCGCCTAGAGGGGGATAAAACCCCCCACGGGGTCTAACGGGGCCAAGGCCCCCCCAAGTCAGCCCCTCCCCAGCCCCGGGAACCTACACGACAGGCCCCGGGGCCGAGCCGTTCCCCCAAAGCCCCGGCCGTACCAGAAAACCGGGGCAGCCGTGAAAACACTAAGGAAGGGAGCCCACTGGCAGACTCATACAACACGGCTGGAGGAACAGGCCCAAATGCCCCCGTCACTACCCCGGAAGGGGAATTCCCCGAGACTGCCCGAGTCTCAACACCACCAAACACCCCGCCCTGAACCTACAGACGGTAAGGAACCGGATGCAGGCAGGAAGGGTGAACCAGGGGAAAAACGAAATACAACGGGGCAGCCCCGGGGCTCCCGGGGAGGAAACCACGAGAACGTTGCCACCACCAAGGCTCAAGTGCAACGCCCCTGCTGCCCGCACCCGCTTTGTTAGCACAACTGGGTAACCGAGCCACAACGAGCAACCAAACTCGCAGGACACCGGGTCGAAGGTGTCACCGACCCCACAGGCAGCAGACGGAGGCAAAACAGAGAGTCACCCAGAGACAAAAGGTGAGAGCAACCCTCAAACTCGCTGGAAGCGAGGGGGGGGCTCTGGGGTCACATCCATCGGACCCGCGCGCCCCCAGGGGTTTCCCAGGGTCCCGAGCGTTTACTTTAAGAGGACTCGCGCTCAGGTAATCCCAGGCAGGGTACTGCTAACCGGCACCCAAGCTACCAAACAACTTTCTAAGAGCTGAACCCCCGGGACGTGTACACTCACGGGGACCTAGCAGGGGGTACCACCAGAAATACTCAGAACACAAGGGACACAAGGGGCAAGAACGAAGGCAGACCCCCCCACCAGGTATATAAACAAAAGAAAAAGAAAACCCCGCAAGAGGACAGCGTACCCAAGCGGAACAGAGCCGGCCGCTATGATTGGTAAAGACAAGCTGCACAGTACCCCGCGCCCCACCAGTGCAAACACTGCCCCTTACTCTAAGGCGAACAAGGGAGACAGAACACCCGAGCACACAAAGAGCGGCCGAAAACCAAGCGGTAAACGGCCAAGCAGGGGCAGGACCCAAGGAACTTGTGGAAGGTGGCCCCAAGCCCCAAGGGCAGTACTTACAGGGCACCTAGGGAAGGGAACCCTAGGCGCATGCAGCCCGAGTACTGAAGAATCACACCCGGCTCACGCACCACCTAGAAAACAGACACCACACTCTAGGTACAGTGCTGAAACAACCACTGGAGCCGGAGCACATAACCATTGCCTATAGCATCAGCCGAAGAACTGATGGGTGGATAGCCGGCGTGGGAGGTCTGGGGCTCCCCCTTCCCCCTCCCGGGGAGGGGGGAGCTGCGCAGACAGCGGCGCGGTGACGTATGACGTCATACTAGTTTCCGTGTTTTCTGTTGAAGAGTTCTATTCACTAGTTCGGCTTAGGTAGCAATTTTCACCAGAATAGGGGTTTGTTTTGGAATGCTTACCTTTCTGGATGCTTGACCCGGTCGATGGCAGACATAGAATGCTTCCAACCACACGGGGGTTTCTATAGGCCATTGCTCCCCTTGCCTCTCTGAGGGGGCCAGGTTCTGGCTCGTGGTCCCCGGTAGGCCCTAGAACTCCATACACATGACTGATGCCAAAGTCTGACATTAGCATATCAGCCGGTAAAGCTCCGGGGAGCCGACGGGGCTCCCCCCAGAAAAGCATATTAGGTAAAGGGGTATTTTTAGTGACTAGATATAGTGTTGTACTGATAAATTTGTGCTGGTTTTTATCCAAAAACTTCACATCCATCCCTCCTCCCACCCCCAAAAAAAAATTTCCTTCACAAATTTCATTATTTTCTCTCATGCACAATATTTACCTTTCACATCCTCTGTTGTAATGATGTCCCTCAGAGCTCTTACAGTGGCCATCACTTGCGTAAGGGATTTGTTCTGAAAACAATGTACAGAAATATAAATTGTGTAAACATATGAGAGACAAATACAGTATGGATGTATTACAGACACCTTCCAGAGTACATTTTTTATCTATATGATCCAATAAAATATACACGAGATAATATGAGTATTACCTGTACCAGCATTGCCTCAGGAGGCAATGCTGGTACAGGTACTCCATGCACTTAATCATGGTTGGTGTCTAATATTGGAGTTAAGTTTAAATATCTTAAAATTTTGTAATATAGTATTCCTTATCATCCCTTTTAAGATGATGTACACAGTATGACAGCTGTTTCAATTTAACATAATTATCATAATACTAAAACAAGTGATATTGCTCATAATTCACAACTGAGACTGTATGCTTAGCTTAAAACATTGACTCTCAAAAGGGCACAGCATAAACAAGATGATATGTCACGTATGGTCATATGCAAAGCGTCTATAAATATAATCCATTCTATAATTGTTTCTGTTAAATTCCCACCATTCCTGTGTATAAATTGTGTCACATTTCACCCCCACTCAAACTGTTGAAGACAAAATTATTACATACTCTATACTGTACCTTATTGTAAATATATTATAATATATATATAATGCTTACTTGCAGGTGATTATAAGATCACGAGTGCCACGGCATGTGTCCCCATTCATATCTATGCGTCCGTATGACAGCCATGAAGCAGCTGGCATGTCGCTATTAGCATCACTCTGCCATGGTCATTATATGCAAACTGATTGGTACATTGCACATGCCACACTCTCTGACTCAGACAGACCTGATATTATTCTCATCTCAGATAAGTAAGTTGTAGCCATTTTATAGATTATTTAATTTGCACTTGAAAATTTTAGCCTGTTGCCACATTCTCTAGTTCCAATCAAAACATTTGCATGGTCTTCATGCTGTAATACAGTATGGATTTGTAAAGATGAATTAACATTTTCTTGGCTTTATTTGTAATGAAACATTTATCCTAGTGCATGGTTGGATATTTTTATTTATATGGCTGCTCCTTTGTGTTATGTTGTGGAATATTTTGTTCAAGTTCTTTCAGTTAAGTTCAGATAACTATCAGCCAGATAAAACAAAACATTTGTCAATTAAAATATAAGGAAATTTGAAAATTAGTTTTATAGATGATAAATGCATGCCACTAAACTGATTTAGTCATTCCTGGAGAAAAAGGTAAGTACATCAGCTTCTTAAAATAAATAAATAAATAAAAAACTGATAATATTTTATCATTTGGTCGAAGTGATCAACACCTTTCATGTTGGTATTGTAGTCACAGATTGCGTTTGGTTTGATTACAGTGACCTGTTTCACTAAAGGTATTCCGTCACGGTTGCGTACTCTCGTCCTTCTTTCCACTTGTTTGCGCTCATTTTAAAACAAGCTCATAGTATTCGGTCAATAAATGGAAATTTTACAAATTTTAACATTTTTGACGCCATTTGCGTCATCGGGCATACTCCGTATTTTGGTTTTATAATGGAATATGCGGCATCGAGCCATGAAAGTGTTAATAAGAGACCTAAACTCCTGTTCTGGAAGTCCTTTGTCTGGATGAACATTTCAGTATGTAACTATTTTTCCACTCATTTGGCAAATGTCACACATCACAGTGAATGGCATTTTATCACCATTTGACAGTAGCCACATATCCCAATAACATGGATAACAAAATCTTTTTTTAAATTTGTACGGAAAACAATACTGTAGGTGCATTTGAAAATATGTTATACTGTATTTTAAAATAGTGTCATGTTAAACACTGTATACAGTAGATGGAAAAACTGTCGGTGTTGCAATCCGTAATTATTAAATTTTGTATCCAAAAGGCACATCTTCAAATTGGAGCGCTGTAGTATATGGGGAGGCTGGGACATCAGCTGGAAGGTTGCAGTACGTAATCTACTACATCAGCCAACTCTAAAAGACAATTATATACTATTGGTTCTTAGACAGGTAAGGAGTTCCTGCACTTCATTAGTAATTTTGTTTTGTTTAATCCTTAGGCAGCAGTTATTGTCATACATTGATACATGGGGCAGTGTGGTTATTATCATATATTGATTTTAAATATTATTGTCTGGGTTTTACATGTATGATGCAAATAAGGATATAATAGTTCTGTATGGATGTAATGGAGTTTACCTTGACCCCCATGGAAAAACTCCTGCTACCATTTTATACAGTGCCCGAGTCAAAAAACCAGCTTTGAATGTAGTGAAACGCCATTTTCTGGGTGAGACCCGGAGGTTATCTGGAGCTATACCGAGCTAATGTGCATGTATAAAACCATGGCAACAGTCGATGGAGTTCTAGACCGACCGGGGACCAGAACCAGAACCTGGCCCCCCCCTCAAGAAGAGGCACGAGGAGCAATGGCCTAAAGACACCCCTATGTAATTGGAAGCAGTCTTTGCCATCTACCAGGTCAGGCACCCAGAAAGGTAGGAATTCCAAAACAAACTACTGCTGGTCAAAAATTGTAAACCGAAAGGCAAACTAGCAAGCAAAACTCCCAAATCAAAAACAAGCAAACAAGTATGATGTCACCAGAACTGCTGCGCATCTGCCTGCATGACCCCCCTCTCCCCAGGAGGGGGACGAGGGGGGGGGGTCCCAGACCTCCCTTGCCATATACTCTCCTCAGTTCAGAGGCTGAATATCAAAAATGAAAAAAACTGCCGACCGGTGGGAGGGAGGGATGCCGGGGAGCCTCCGGGTCTCACCCAGAAAATGGCATTTCATTAAAGTCAAATCTGTTTTTCTGTGAAGAGCCTCTTTGGCTTCCCGGAGCTACCTAACCAAAGATAAAGAAGAAAAAAGGACTTACCCAGGAGGCGGCCGTCACTCGCTTCTCAACTCGAAGTCGAGACAACTAGCTGCAACCTGCGACCCAAGGCTTCACACGCCCAAGAAGGGCCAGGAACATTAAAAAGGTACAGTACTGTGCAGCTAGGATCCTGTTCAACCTCCAAAAGCCCTGTGCCCGAATGTCACCTCTAGGACATATTACCAAAAACAGCAGCCAAAGCCGCAAACTTACGAACATCGTGGGCACGAGACTAGACCGCAGGATTGCTGGACCAAGTAATCTTAAGGACGACCTGGGAGACCTGCACCCTGGAACATGGAAGAAGGGAAACCAGGTCCAGCCAAAGCACGTTCCCTGCCACGAAGGCCGTGGCGCGCCATTAATTGCAAAGAGCCGCAACCGGACTCAAAACACAATGCACCTCCAGCTGAACCAACCAAGCATCAACAACCCGAAGACCCTACCGGAAAACAGCATATTCATTCTTCGCCAGAAAAAAAGGAGACGGCTACAAACGAACGAAACGACCACCAGGCCCGAAAGAGCAGAAACCCCTGTGCCGGAGGAGAGCATGGAGCTCCGTGACCCAACCCCCAGAGGTCAATGCAAACAAGAAAACAGCCTTAGAAAAACAGTCCTGAACCGAAGGGGCCACTACAAACCGAGGAGAAGAGAGAAAAGAGATCACCCGGTCCAACAACCAGGACGGCTCATACGGCACATGAGCAGGCCGGAGGTGAAACAATGCTTGAGAAAGCTTGCGGAACGGAGCAGAAGTGACATCCACCCCGAAGGCAAGCTGCAACGGCTCTGCCAGCGTCACACGATGCGAGGCAACAGTATTTGGCATAAGATGACGGTCCTGAAACGACCAAGAGAGAGAAAGGACAAAACAACCAGATCAGAAATCAAAGACAACCTACGAAGAGACAAAAAGTGACGAAAGGACCACCAGGAAATTTCATACTGCCGTCTAGACGAAACTCGCAGGTGGGATACCATCAACAAAGCCACCTGATCACCATTCAAGTGGTGATACACCCGCGTCAAAAAGACCAGACGCGAAGAGTGGAGGAGAAGATCGAACCAGCCACGTACTGGACCGAACCGATCTGCTGAAAGAGGCGGAGCCGCAGAAAGACCCTCGGGTTCGGACATCGAGCAAGAAGCACATGAAACCAAGGCTGGGCCAGCCATCAAGGAGCCAACAGGACTACTCACCCCTGGTAAGTCTCCAACTGAGCCAGGATCCGGAGCAACAACCGGACCGGAGGGGAGAGGTACAGTTAACTCCACCTCGACCAGTCCAGCCGAAAGGCTTCTACCTCGATGGCTTCGCAATCTGGGAAGGACGCCACATAAACTGGAAAACGCCTTGACCACGCCGATACGAAGAGGTCCACCTTTGGGCGTCTGTACGTCCGGCAGAGCCAACTGAACGAGTCGGCATCGACCGTCCATTCCGTGGCAAGGGGAATGAATCGAGACAGGCCGTCCACCAGGATGTTTGACACCCCCTGAACATGAACCACCAGGAAAGCCAAACCCCGAAAACTCCGCAGACAAGTCACCTGAAGCGACCATCCCCAAAAAACCAAGAACCTCATCGATCCCCTGTGGTTCAGGCAATGAACCACCGAGGAGCAGTCCGAATGGAGCAGGATCATTGCTCCTCGTGCCACCCGAATCCTCTGAAGCGAATGCCACACCGCCGCAAACTCCCGCGGCATACTGTGAGCTTTTCTGAAGGATGGACCCCACCGACCCTGGCTAGCCTGGTGAGCACTTGTCACAAAACCCCAGTCGAGAAATGAGGCATTCGTGAACACATCGAGCGAGGGCTCCGGGAGGCGCCATGGCACAGAACCAGAAAAAACCCGAAGTGGAAGCCGGTGACGTAGCAGCCGACACAAGGCTCCTGGGATCCGAACCCACCGATCGCGGGAGCGGTGGAAGGGACGACCCCGAAGAAACCAGAACATCCGCCGAAGCCAGATCCGACCCGGTGGGTAGACCAGCACGGCGAAGTTCAAGCTCCCGCACAGCTGCTCGAACAACCAACGTGTGACCCAGGTGCCCTCCAAAAACAGCCGGAGGTGGGACCGCAGCCGCAACAGCGTTGCAGGAGGGAGAGACAAGGAAGCGGTCCGAGAGTCCCACACAAGACCCAGCCAAGTCCGAACCTGAGAGGGAACCAAATGGGACTTCCTCCAGTTCACCAAGAACCCGAACCCGGCGAGCTGGGAAAGAACCAAATCCCTGGCGAGCAGACATGCGGACTGGCTGGGAGCCCACACCAGCCAGTCGTCGAGGTAAGCCAGAACCCGAACCCCTAACAGACGCAAACGGGTCACCACGACCCGGGTAAGGCGTGTGAACACTCGAGGTGCCAGATTCAAGCCGAATGGAAGGCAACGAAAGCGGTAAGCTTGTCGCCCCACGACAAAACCGAGCCAGTCCCTGAACCCCGGATGAATCGGGACATGCCAATACGCGTCCCGGAGGTCCAGAGACACCATCCAGGCACCCGGTGCCAAAAGCAGCCGGACCTGAGACAGAGTGGTCATCCGAAAGGAGGGGCAAAAGACCCAGGGATTCAGACGAGACAAGTCCAGTATGAATCGCAGATCCGCACAGTCCCATTTCGGAACTGAAAACAGGCGGGAAACCCACCTGAGGGACGTTGTCGTTTCAACCACACCCAAGCGAACCCACTCCCGGATGACCTGACAGAGCACAGGAGAAGAGGCCTGCCCTGCCAGCCCCGATCCCCCCCGAAGGAGGAGGAGCGACTCAATGCCACCGCAGGCCAAAGGAAATGACCCGAAATGGCCACGAATCATGGGACCAGGCGAGAGCAAACAGCGCGAGCCTCCCCCCTATCGCCCCGTCAATGGGGCGACCTGTGAAAGGGCCGACGACCCCTACGAGAGCCCGACCGATGCTCAGAGTGATCACTGTGCCGACCAGACGCCAACGGCTTCAGAGGAGGTGCCGGCCCCGAATCAGGCACTACTGGCTTACGACAACTGAAGGAACCCCAAGACCTGGCATGACCCTTCTGGGCAAGACCACCACGGCCTTCCCGGAGAACCAACAGGTCCGACATAGGCCGGCAAATAGATGAAGCCACTTGCAGATAAATGCACCGCCGCAGATTCTGCAAACAGTAACGGACAAAAAGGGGATGAAAATCTAAGAGCCAGGGCCCAAGCCGATTCCAAAGAGTGGACGAGCACTGCCTGTCGGCACGCGAGACGAGAAGCAAAGAACAAGGACACCGCCTCCCTCAGAATCGGCGCAAACAACTTCAACAAGGCAGCCAACGCCCGAGCTGCCGAAGCAAACACACCAGACATCGGCCCAGATCCCAGTTCCTGCACATCCTCGCCGAGCCAGTCCAAAGACAGCTCCAGCAGAGAAAAGAAATGCAAGACCGAAGCCAAATGCCCACGAGTGCACAAATCCTCAGCCACCAGGGATGCTGAAAGGGAGGGAACCTGTGTGTGAAGCTGAATTTCACTGACATCATGAGGAAGTACAGAGGCGAACAAGCATGCATTGAGGTGCTCAAATTCGCCCCCTAAGTAAACCTGAACAACCGTAGTCACTTCCCACCATTCAAGCGCACAGGTCCGACAGAACGAATGCCACACCCCTAACGAAAAGAGAGGGCAGTCTACCAACCAGAAAGACTCTGGCATCTCGTAAAACCTCCAGAAAGAAAATGAGGAGCCAAACTCGAAAGAAGAAGGATCCATTACCAAGGCGTTATCCGGGTCTCGCAAGAGGTTAGCCGCAAGGGCTTCCCGCTCCACCTTTGATGTGATGCGGGAAGCCGAAAACCTCTTGAAGGAGGGAACCGAGGAACCCAAGGGAACCTGGAACCGAACCCAGGGAGGAGCCGCACCCATATCAAATTCGTACAGGGAGGGAGGACAGGAAAACCCCTGTCCCTGTAACAACAAGCCCCGCGCCGAGGGTACCAACACCCAAGCAGGGTCAAACGGGGCCCAAGCACCCCAAGTCAACTCCTCCCCAGCCCTAGGAACCTCCACATCAGGACCTGGGGCCGAGCTGTCCTCCAAACCCTCTGCCTCTGGAGAAAGGCAGAGTCCGCCAGAAAAGCCGGGATGAAGGTGGCCCACTGGCACTACCCAAGGGCTCCAGCAGGAGAAACAGGTTGGAATGCCTCTGCTGCCGATCTGGAAGGGGCATTTCCTGAAGCCGCCCGAGACTCACCACCAGGCAAACCCTGCCCTGACTCTGAAACCCTCAGACGTTTGGGAGTCGGCAGCAGGGGGGTGTCGGGGGGAGCAAGATGAACCACAGCAGGGGAAGGACTAGGGGGGTGCAGATGAAACCAATGTCGAGGCGATTAACACCCCCAAGTCCAGGTCCCTATAACCAAAGCATGGCAGCTGCGGTGCATTCGGAAAGGTGTCCAACCTTGTGCGTTGCAGCAACCTAAACCTTGCATGCAACACCAAAGCTGCTTGCACCCGAATATCAATCTCATTGGATTGGGTGAATTGGAGTACAAACATGGAACACCACTCACAGGACTTCGGGTCTAAGGTGTCATTGATCCAACAAGCAGCATGGCGGAGACAAAGACAGTGAGTGTCACCCTGAGTCAAGGTGACAGAGTGGAGTACTGCTGCACAATGACAGCCCCTTTCAAAGCTGGAGAAATTGCTGACCTGGAGAGCGTGGAGAGATCCTTTACTGCTAGAATCCACTCAGTAAAATATCTAAACTACTGGGACCGACTAAAGAGCCTAAATCAATATTCCCTTAAGCGCAGGCGGGAGAGATACATAATAATCTATACGTGGAAAATAATTGAGGGGCTGGTCCCAAACCTGCACACAGCAATAACATCACATGAGACCAGAAGACATGGCAGGATGTGCAGAATACCCCCCTTGAAAAGCAGAGGTGCAACAGGTACTTTGAGAGAGAACTTTATCAACATCAGAGGCCCGAGACTGTTCAACACGCTTCCAGTACACATAAGGGGGCATAACTGGAAGACCCCTCACAGTGTTCAAGAGAGAACTGGATAAGCACCTCCAAAGAATACCTGATCAACCGGGCTGTGACTCATACGTCAGGCTGCGAGCAGCCGCGTCCAACAGCCTGGTTGATCAGTCCAGCAACCAGGAGGCCTGGTCGACGACCGGGCCGCGGGGACGCTAAGCCTCGGAAGCACCTCAAGGTAACCTCAAGGTAAGGGGACAGAGCAGCCTTCAAACTCGCACAAGGCGAGGTGGGACTCTGAGGTCTCTTCCATTGGACCACTGAGCCCCCCAATAGGATTTCCAGCCCTTAGGCTGACTGCTAAGGGAAGCCCAGGCGAGGTGCTGCTAACCGGTTATCCCAGGGCTACCAAGCAAGCAAGCAAACTATAAGCTGAACCCCTGCAATGTGTGCAAGCACAGGGGCCACCAAAATCCTACAAGTGGTCCTACCGCCACACTAGGCAGACCCCCCACCAGGCAAAACAAAACAAAAAAGAGAAAAACCCTGCAAAAGCACAACATCTCCAAGGGAACAAAACCAATTGCTATGCATATATCAGACAGCGGCACAGTACCTTGCACCCCTGCCAGCGACGAAACTACCTCCTACCCAAAGGAAAACATTATCAAGAACCACCCCAGCTGAACCCCAAGGGCTCACCAAGTAGCGAGCAGCAACAGAACCATGCGGAGGTAGTTCCCGAACGGCTCAGGGAAGATAACCCTGAAGCCGCATGGGCAGTACTTACAGGGCACCTATTGAAGGCGGCCCTAGGTGCATGCAACCTCAGTACTCTTGTGTTACTCCTGGGTCGCACGATACCAAAACTGAACAACAACACCGCACTGCAATACTGCTCAAAGGATGGAGCCAGAGTTGATCGACCGTTCGCCCTCACAACAGCCTGTGAACTGAGGCGAGTTGCCGGCGTGGAGGTCTGGGACCCCCCTCTTCCCCCTCCCAGGGAAGGGGGGTTGCATAGACAGATGTGCGACATTTGTGGTGGCGTCATACAGTTTCCTTGGTTTTGATTGGGGGAGTTCTATTAGTAGTTCAGCTTTCGGTTTGCAAATTATTTGATCAGCAGTAGTTTTGGAATTCCTACCTTTCTGGGTGCTTCCAATTACACAGGGGTATCTTTAGGCCATTGCTCCTCGTGCCTCTCTTAAAGGGGGGCCAGATTCTGGCTCTGATCCCCGGTAGGCCTAGAACTCCTTCGAGTGACTGTTGCCACGGCCTAATATATACACATCAGCCTGGTTTAGCTCCGAGGAGCCGAAGGGGCTCGCCACAGATAAATATACAAAACAGTGTACCAGCTGGCAACTTACCATTATTGCAAGAGTTTCTTACATCTAAAAAATTTAAATAAAAAACTTAAGAGTAGACAAATTTCTTTAAAAAAGCTAAAAAAAAATATGAGCTTTTCAAATAAAGCTCAAAATAAATCTTGGCTTAATCTAAATCTAGTCCCCCAAGCAATTTAAATAAAGTTATGTAATGCTTAAATGCCTACTCTGTGAAAGATTTCCAGTATGATGCATCTTTTCTTATCAGGATGAGAGCCACAGCCAGTTGTCAGGATCTGAGCATCAAATCAAGAGTACTGACACCGATGTGCTGCTTTATCTAGTGCGCTGGATTGAAGTCTTAACAACATTACAGATGGTGGACCAGCCATGTCCAACCACACGGTGAATAAGTAAAAGCTATTTTAGATTTGTAAGTTTGATAATAATAAATGGAACTTTGGTAAAAGATTGAATTGCTGTGGTATTATCTTGCCAAATTTTTTTTAATTTCACTCATGACTTTTCTAATGCACAATATATATAATCTCAAAGAAAACATTAAAGTTTTAAGTACAAGAAAAACTATTATTTTTCTTTGTTTGGCAGACATGTATAGGAGAGATTTGCAAGACAAATTGCCTTACTATTAATGTTGTGGTAATATCCTCAATTGGAAATGAAGTAAAGGGCAGAATTGTTATTAAAACTACTGCAATCTTTGTAGATTTTAAGTAACTTGTCAGTTATAGAGGCCTAGTAGTTACTTAACTAATTGAGACCGAGATGATTCCTCCAAATATTTGTTCATGCACTTTTTGAGAGAATATTTGTTGGTGTGTCACAAGTTGCATTCCTGTGTGCAAGATGTACAGTGCGGCTATTATATAGATAGAATCTAAGTACTGTATAAATACTTTTACTTCTAATCAGTGATCATAAATGACTTGCTTAGGTTATATTACTCAACTGATTAAATGTATGTAAAAGGTTGGACGTCTAAAGGTACGGAGGGCGCCTGACAGCTGAGTGGACAGTGCTTCGGATTCGTAGTCCTGAGGTTCTGGGTTCAATCCCCGGTGTAGGCGGCGACAAATGGGCAAAAAGTCTCTTTCACCCTGATGCCCCTGTTACCTAGCAGTAAATAGGTACCTGGGAGTTAGCTGCTACGGGCTGCTTCCTGGGGGGATGTGTAACAAAAAGGAGGCCTGGTCGAGGACCGGGCCGCAGGGACGCTAAGCCTCGAAATCATCTCAAGATAACCTTAAGATAACGGTTTTTCTGCAGATTGTAAATACTGTATGTGTTTTTGGCTGAGTAAGGGTACTCACGCCTGGGTTTACCAAAGTACTGTATAGGAGAATTTATATTTTTTACCATGGAAAACATCGCATGGGTTATCATTAGAAAAATATGGAATGTTTATAAGATTAAAAACTAAGTATTGTAATGTAACTGTAAATAAGTTATTGTAGTATATTTTATAAGTTACTGACAGACTCAACAGATCAGTGTTTTCCCGCTAGAATATTTTATTCTATTACGCTTACTGTTCTGCACTTACTGTCGTGCAAGCATCAAAACAAAATTTGTATTATTGTGTGTTAATATTTAGCCTTTTATTACTGCATTTTATCTTTAAGAGGCCCGGTGACAGTGGAGATTTCTCCAAATTTGGAACATAGTGAAAAATTTTAAACAAATTACCCATTATTTGGTAACAGCGTCGTGAAAATTTCATCCCAATATGTTAAGAAATAGATTTTTTATGAATTTTTTACAAATAAATGCGTGCGCGATGGGTGGCAAACGGTCCTGATAATAATGATAACACCTATTTACTGGCAATCAGGGATAAAGAGATGCAAGCACCCGTCCGATGCACAAAGAAGACAAGTAGTAGTAAGGAGGGTCTACAAAGTGGATATGCAGCTGGTGCCATCTGGAGGGCCAGATTTCACACACAATAATGAGTTAGTATGTTGTTATGCTGTATTTTATTATATATCATATAAATACATTGCCAAATGGCAATATTTCTTATGTTCATTTTTTCTCTCCTTTGTTTCTATGCGGATTTTGTTGTGACTTCTACATCGTGGAGGATGCATATCTGGCACTAAGCATGTGAAGTTGGAACGAAGTTGATCAACATGTTAATCAGTCTCAGGTGGCAGAAGTTTTGACTTGTATTTTTTTTTGGGCCAATTTATTTACAGAGTTCAAATTCTATTCTCTTTGTCTATTTAGGTTGTATTGATGAATGAGGACCAGATGAGGGCCTTATCACTTATATATGGGCAATAAAGTTACTGCAATATATGTTTCATTATAAGAACATGGGAACATAAGAATGAAGGTAACTGCAGAAGGCCTATTGGCCCATGCGAGGCAGCTTTTATTTATATCCACCCAATCTCATTCATATATATGTCTAACCTACTGTTAGATAGTTAAGGAGCTCAGTGTCTGTTTTACAGTTATCCCTAACGTATCCATATATTTTGTTTTTTGGGGGGTTATTTTTTCTTGACTTCATTTCAACACATATTGACCTACAAATTTAACATATTCGAGTACAAATGCCAAGCAATGTTTTTTAAAGCATACAAGAAAATTCATTAATTAGAACTACCATATTCATTGTTGATAACTTTAACTTCAATTTCTCTAAAAAAAGGAATTTCAACTTTGAGACCGCTTCAAAAATTCAATTTCTGACCGATTCTCCCCATTTTTACATATTACTTGTATGTGCAAAGCTCTTAGTTCTATAACCTCCTAGGTTTTGTTTAGTCATAAAGTCATAATGTTTGAAGTTATAAATTTGTTACAGTACATATAAATTTGGCATATATTTGGATGGCTACATTTAAAAAAAAATTACAGTAAACAATACTTGCAAACAATATTTTTAACCAACAAACATGAACATTATATGCCATTCTGAGACTAACTGCTAATAAAATAACAATTGTGACATTTTAAGACTTTTATCATTACATAATTTGAAATTGTGAATATTTTCTTTTTCTTCAATTTTTTTGTTGTAACTTTTTTTCTTTTCCGGGTATGATTTTGAGCCATTAGGAAAAGTTGGAGCATTTACCATGAAGATATTATTCACAAAAAAATTGATTGTGTTTGAGAAAGTTTCGGTACACCATCACCCGGCCCCTTAAATCTTCAAACACTTGCATATTAATGTTTTCTTCTTTCATAATTCATACCGGTAATTGTTAAATGGAATCAATTACTGTATTGTAAAACTTAGAATATGATCAGGCTACAAAACTCTGACCACAATGAATTTGTACATTCCTCCCAAATTTATAAATAGTTTATAGTTTACATCATGTTATCTGTTCTTCCAAACCAAATTAAAAAATAATAGAAATAAGACATTAACTACTTTACATTGCACAATGAAATCACAATAACGTGAAGCATTTATGAGAAAATATTAAGGCAATGAAAAAGACATTTCTTGTTATATATATATTCTTTATGGGTAAATATTGAAATCATGCAGAAATTGTAGAACATGACCTACAACATTTGTTTCAGCATGAAAATGTTTTAATTATGATACTTTTACTTCCAGTAATGATCAAAACTGACAAAGAATTATCTCGAAAGAATAGACAGGTGAGGCAGGAGTCCTAACCTCCTTGTTCTAATATTTGCTGTAAAGTTTTAGATATTTTATTTATGCTGTATTTTCATACAAATATTGTTATAGTTTTTGATTTTCATAGAATTTAATTTTGTTTACTGTTATTTCAATATTGTTTCTTTAATAAAATAATTTGTTACAAGACAAGTGTGTATAAATTGCATAATCTGTATGATGTTTGTGCAGTGAAATAGGCAAAGTGTGTATATTTTGAGGGATATATGTTGTGATATGGTGTCTTTCATGTGCTGTAATGGATGTGTATTGTACAAGCTGTATATTTATTGGGAAGAAAAATTTCATAGTATTAACATTGGCTTAGACTGACTGAATGTGCCTCCCACATGATCCAGATATATTTTCAAGAGCACACAGAAATATTATGAACTTTTGATAAATTTGGTTTAAATGCTATGGAAAAGCTTAATTTTGCATTGAATATATTAAGTAACATGTTGCCACTGTATTTCTAAGTAGTGCATGCATGCTTCTGTTTACTGTGCAAAGTTGTCATGCTCTAGTAATGACAAGTCGTGGTCAACAAAATGCTTCTTTAAAGAAATTGAAGTTATTGATCTAATGACCAAATGGCTCTTTCCCAATCATTGTAAGCCTCTTCTCTATGGTGAAACCACGTACATTTTGTGTGTGAAAATGTACATAAATTAATCATATTTTTATATAATCATATTTATAAGAGGGTCTACGTATTTCCTATCTATATACTGTATATCGAGTCAGCAGTTCAAGTCTAGGAGACTCGAACCGCCGATCCCACAGGTGTACTGTGTAGTATACCCATGATGGTACTACACAGTACTAAACAGTACTGTGTATTAAACAGTTTATTTGGTTTGATTAACACTGTACATAAATATGACTATGACTGTGCACATGTGTGTGAGGAAAATATTCACTACCTCTACTTGCATAACATTTTCTCACAGGTAAAACAGTAACTTCATAGTCATTATAAGTCTAAATCTTAGAAATATAACTTCATTCCTGTAAGGCAAAGGATACCATGTTATATATTAATTCTTTTAATCATGAACTACAATGTGCAATATTTTGTATTTTTCTTTTTTACTTTATTTTATGCTATTACTTTTTTTGGGAGGAGGACGGGGAGGAAGTAGTGGGGTAAGTAATATAGATAGTATCTTTATATGTATTTACATTCATTTCTGTAGCTGTTAAAAGTTCTGAAAATAGACATTTATAGGTTTACCTTTAATAGTAAATTTTAAGTAAAATTTAATTTTCTATCTTCTGAACAATTGAATACATTTGATGGCCTGTTCAGTAAACCTGATTGGTACCCCAGGTTTAAATACTTGTTTCAGGTTCCAACAGCTTTGGGTGTAGGAATATCAAGCCTTTATTTGTAGTAAGGCTACCAACCAGGATTACTAGATTGTATGGTAGTTTTGTTACCTAATTCCTGGGGCTTAATGAAATGAAAGTTGATTGGACCCAAATGCACCTGGGTGTGCTATATAGCTTTACTGGCTTAGCACTTTCTTTTGATAATTACTTGCATGAATTTAAGTAAACTCTCCAATACTAATTCATGTGGTGGTCTAGTGGTACAAAACATATTTTGAGTGACACAGGAGGAGCTCAAGCTGTAGTCACAGCTGTTAGTTATCTTGAGCCGTAATAGTCACTATAACACACTTGACATACTGAAGCTGGCTGTCTCCCTAACACTGAGAATGGTATGCAGTACTTACGTTGTTAACATAAATTAATGTGCTTAAATTTTACATGCCTTCAATTAAACTATCATTCTCTGCATTTTACTTTTAACCTTAAAAATAAAATGCCTTATTTTTTATGTTGTATAATAGTGAAATAAATAAAATTAGATAAATTCAGATAAAATTTATCACTTGGCAATACAAACATGCATGAAATTACTACACAACAGTGAAAAAGAGTCCGAAAGGAACCTTGAGAAGTGGATAGCAACCAAATGTAAATCAGAATCCAGCCGAGTCTATAAATTCATAAAAAGCAAATTGCAGGTGAAAGATAAAATGTAAAGATTAAAAACAGGAAACCGATTCAGAGACTGAAAAGGAAATACAATACAACAAAAAGGTCTGACAGAATCGTGCAAAAAGTTGTTCCAAAAGCTAGAATGCACAGGAGTGGATGACAAGCAGACTACTGACATGAAAATAAAATTAGATTGGCAATGTTATCTAATGTCACTAGTGAAGAATCACAAGGTTCATACCTTGCATCAGTAATGTTGCAAATCTATATAAATGTTCTACAAAAAGGGGAATATGAATATGTTTGCAGATGCAAAGTTAGTAGGGGGAGTAAAAATCTTAAATGGCTGCCATACCTTTCAAAGTGACCTAGACAAAATAAGTGAATCGAGCAACATTTGGCAGATATATTTCAATGTGAATAATTGCCATGTAATGAAATATGGAATAGGAA